TTAGACCTCCCCAAATAGTGACTGTAGCATCTAACTTCTCCCTACAATATCACCCGTATCTCAAAGAGTAAAGTGACGAGAATAAAGGAAATGATCACCAATTAAAGAAGCTCTTGATTGTTAATCAAATTCTCCTTGTCAGCACCTTAGGAAATGTATAGAGAACAGTATGGAGAATATACAAACTGATGTAAGGGTGTAAAGAGTTAAAACACAACCAGATACCACACAAGCCAAGTCGAAACGCGAATTGTTTTCTTTTCTTCTTTTTCAGGCTTTACTTCTACAAACTTTTACACACTGGTCTTTGCACATGAGGATAAAAGCGTCACTAATTTATCACCGGTCAGAGCATGGAGGATATTATACGGCCGCGCGGAGAAACGAAATTTATCTTCGGGAAGAGAAATTTCGTATCTCCAAGCGGCCGTGTAATATTCTATTTATTATACAAACATCAAAGAAAAACCAAAACATTTCACTTTCGCGACGAAAGGTGCGATTTATTACATAACCATAGTAATGGTGTTATTTTCACCGTGACGTGTGGAGATAACATGTTATTTTCACGTGTGAAGATAATCTCGTTTTCGTGCGAAAGCTTACCTGGTTTTTCATTGGTGTTTATATAATAAAATATTTATTTCATACCCCATTTGTAATATTATTACTTTAGATATCACGAAGTTTCGTACCTGGCCTTAGGAAGAACAATTCCAGACATGGGTTCAACAGCCAGACTGGAAGCATATCCTTCCGTGTGACAAGATGATTCACTGAATGAGAAAGTGAATGGGATGTTCTCCTCGTTCACTAACTGTACGGTTGTTTTTGCCGGGTGACCTAAAACAGAACAGCGTGAAGATGTATTTAACAACTAAATCTATATCGACGTAAAAAACACAAGAATGGCGTAACCAAAGAACCGTAATAGGAGTCTTTGCCAATTTCCTTTCCAATTACACAGCGATTCCCATTTCGATCAAAAAAACTCAACTCCAAATTGTGTGGAGAGACGGTGATTTCATTACCAGTACAATTGTACGCACTGGAACCGATTCGAAAGGAGCAACGTGCCAAGGTTACTAACACCTATTCATTGTCCTATGTTATACTAGATCCGACCAATCTCAGCGACGAACTAAGTCACATGTTGCGCGAGTTGAATTTTTCTAGGTCATCATTCGCAATCTGTTTTAATCGTCTTAATCCTTTGCCATCATTGTTTCCTGTGCGTTTATTCTTCCCTTACTGATGTTTTCCAACCTTACAGTGCTAATATCTTAAAATCTCTTTCTCTTTGAACCTATTAAACCACGACGCAAAATGAAGAAAAAAAATTACGAGAGACGCGATTTACTCACCAAGCAGCATTTCCCTGAAGTTTATGTGAGACCTGTCAAACGACAGCACGGGCTCAAATGTGTGCCCCACCAAAACAAATGGAATTGAGAAGTTGTATTCGGGCACAAAGAACCGCCAAAATGATTCTACCAGGTCAAGCGAGTCTGACACGTACTCAAACACCATCTCGTGCTTCTTGCCACTCAGTATGGTCCCCTCGGGAGTCAGGCACCGGAAATTGACAGTTTCTGGCGGCGCACCATCCAGTGTGTCTTCACTGGTCCACAAGAAACTGTAGCTTGTGTTGGATGGGTTTATGACGCTAAAACGCCTGTGGGAACATAACACTTATAAGTACCTATACACCAACTGATCCTAACTGTGACTCACATGCATTGCTCAGATATTTTTACCATGTTTCCACTCCTGGCTTCTAAACAATATAACATGGGATTTGACTAATTCTAGGCCGTACAAATTGGATTTAGGAGATTGGAATCGGGAGTTTGACGCCTATTTGTACCAACATAATTGAAAAATGGGCAAATACTAAATTTGACACTGGAAATTGAATGAAATTAAAGGGTTGAAGAATTGCATCTGTAACCCCTCCTATGTTCGGAGAGAGAAAGGTTAGAAAAGGTTTTAGTTTTCACTTACTTAATGTTTTTGACCTTGACTCCACACGATTTGAACTCGATGACTTTTGTGCTAGGATCCAAGGTAGATCCAGGGGGAGCCCCACCAGGACCCCTTAACTCGGGGTTTCTCCTCCCCCCGGATACGTAATCCGACTCCTCCAATTCAAAGTGACAATAGGGAAGAAGACTCCGTCCACGTACGGGAATGGAGAAGCCGCCTCTGTCGGGCGGAAGGTTGTTAGCACTGTAAAGATCAAAAGAATAGAGAGAGAAATCGTTATTGCAACCATTTTGTCTGGCGTCACCTGAGGGATGAGTTTCTTGTTGATTTTCCTTCCTTCCTCTAAAGGGTTTTTCTCCGGGTTCGCTGGTTCTCTGATACTCCTTCTTTCACATTAACCAAAACGCCAAATTTCATGTTTGACGACAAATAAGTTTCTTGACTCAGTTGCATTGTGTGGTTTGGCAAATAAACGCCTATCACGTTATCATTTGTTTGTTTCTTTTTTTATGAGTTTCTTTGCGTTTTTTAATGTTTGTTTGACGAGTTTGTATGTTACATCATTGTACCACAGTATTACCTAAAGGTCACCAAAGCATCATACTCGGACACATCTAACGGCGAGAACTTCACAACAAAGCTACCCTTCTTTCTTGCAGGGATGCTTCCACTTTCTGGCTCAATCACAAACGGGAACACATCGCTTCCTCCTTCACTCACAACACTGCCTGCCTCGTATGCAATAGCCAGGGCACTTGACGGCCGCCCGCCCATGGAAGAACCAGGTCGTTGGGTCATTGGGGGTACACGTCTAGGAGGGTGCACTGATGAGTCCCCTGCAGAGGTTGAAGGGCGACCTGTTTGCTGACTGCTAGATTGTCCAGCAGAGCTTTCGGGTCTCTCGGGTCCTACGAGCTGTTCCGCTAGGCTAACAGTCTTTTGTTTTTCCACTGGTTGAAAATGCCATTTGTAATCGAGCTGCACATCGCCTTTGTTTGAGACTGTAAAGCTGAAAAATAATTTTTTTCTTAATCTTTACAGTAAGTTTTGACAACTGAGAAAACTTGTTCTTAATTGGGATCGATGATTGAGTTATCAACTTCACATCTAGAAACATTTCATCTTGTACGCTTTAAAAATACGCCCAATAGAATTTAAAAATAGGCACTAGGAAAGATGGAAAGGAATGTTTCTTCCACGGAAGTGATCTACAAATACCTCACAGCTTACCTGTACACTCGGGATTGAAACATCAGTGTGTCTTTGAAGTGAATGTTCTCAACTTTGCAGCGATATTTAGCATAGTCACACACGGCAGTTAGCAATAGTTCCACGTCCTTAGGGCTATTTTCCAGTGCTGTATATGGAGGCTCAGCTTCAACTTCGATGACCTTCTTCTTGGCAGGCCGGGGGGACTTCCTCACGCCAGTGGAAGGGTCCTCACTAGGTGCCACGTCAATCCACTTTACAGTCCGCATGCGATCGTCCCAGTCCACCGCCTACAGAAACGGAAATTACATTAGCGTTTAATCTATTAAACATCCAAACAACAAATTGTCGAATTAAAAAAAAACAAATGTTTCGCCAATTCCATTTTCCTTTGTTTTTTTTTTTTAGCAGGGTAGTGTCTGGAAAGAGTTTAAGAAAAAAGGAAAATTAAACTCCAAAAAAGGATCATGAAGATAAGCAAGTTATCAAATTTAAAGAATGTTTTGCTCCACGAAAGCAGAGGCTTAGAAACTGATAAATTCAAAGGGTTTGATCAGCTGATAAAATAATATATTTGATAAATTCGAAGGGTTTGATCATCGTTACGCATCTTAGAACTTGTACTAATTAAGAAGACTAGCATCTCCTTTCCCTCTTTTTCATTCCTAATCTTCTTATGGTGGAGATAAAGCCATGAATCTTCTTGCACAATTAAATGAGTTCACCGTAACTGGAGAAGTTCTACTTTAGCCAAAGAGCCTAAGCTGTCGTTTAGATAATAAACAAATACCACGTTATAATCAATTTCTTTTACAAAAGGGAGCCATACCTTATCTTGCGCCTCTCCTAGCTTGATTTTAGTGACTTTGCAAGGAATGTTTGTTGCTGAATATGTCTTTGGCTCGTTCGAACAGAAGGTTACTGTGACATCTTTTGCGCAGTTAGGCTGTAGGTGTCCTGTGCACGGAGAAAACGTCACCTCAGGCGGTGGGGTCCAAGTGAAGCGCAATGGGTCCGAGGAGGAATGGTTTGTCAAAGTAAATGACAGCTGTTTAGACACGCCTACCGCACAATCCCCAAATTTGACGTGGTTTTCTCTTGATGCTGAGGAACAGACAAATTAAATAAGAAAAGGGGGTTTAATGTAACATAGTATTTTTGAGGGCCGTATCCATGCTACGCGTTTCACACCAAGGTCAACAAAAACAACAACAACGACAACAACAACAAAGATAATAACAATAGTATCCAGTGTTCAATTAATTTCAAAGTCAGCCACACGAAGTCTAAGGCTAAAGATATGTCTTTGGAACACTGTTTCTCCAGTTTCGCAAAATAAAAAACAAACAAACAACAGACACACAAACAAAGAAACTATCAGGTCATTTCGTGATAGTACCTGGCGTGTTGTCGTCAATCTCCGTCTCAGGCGCCATTTTCTCAGTCTGAACAAATGACCGAATATTATCTATAGTCACTTCATCTTCGTACCCTTCTCCAATCAGTTGAACTGTACTTTGTTCGTAAGGATTATCCACCACTGTCAGCCTAATCTCGCCCACCAAACGCCCCACCAGGGAGGGGTTGAACTCGATTGCAAAATCTGCTGTCTTACCCATGGGAACCACCACAGACAAGGTGTGAACTCGCGACTTCGGATCAACGTCGTCTTCGCCCTCGTCAAGTGGCATCATAGCTTTGGTACCTTCCACGCATGAAATCTTGTACATACCTTCGGGATCTTTCAAATCGATATTTGCTCGGGCTATCAATGTGCCTTCGTTCTTAAGCGAGAGCGAGAGAACTTGAGTGCGTCCAAGTAAAAGACGTCTGAACAAAAGGACGGGAGCACCTTTCTTGTTTCGCGCAGTGGGTCGAACGACGGTGATTCTGGGAAGGTTTCCTTCACCCTGAATATCGAAAGTTAAGTTGCGGTACTTTGACATAGTGCTTGGCATCCCGTCCACAGCAGCTTCAAGTGTAGCATTATAAGTTTGCATGGACGGAGGAATGAAAGTCACAGTGGCGTATACATAGCTGTGAGCTGGAATCGACGGCCGCTGTGGTTCGATTTCATAGACGTCGTGCCAGCGAGCAGACGGTTTCATGGACTGCGGTTTCACGGAAAGAACCAAGTCACATGGCACCTGCATTGATGACAAAACAGAGATCACAAAACTCATCCGTAAGAGGAAAGGGATTTAATTCTGTTAAACCTTTGACTCCCACAGTGATAGGGATCTAATTTCTTCCACCAGCAAACAATTAAGCTATGAAAATTGACGAAATGGTCGCAGGGTCAAGAGGCTCTTGATTGTTAAGGAAATTTTCCTTTAAGTATCACAGGAAACGTACTGAGAGAACAATCAAACTGATGTAAGGGTGTAAAGGGTTAAAGAAAGATACTCATAAGCGAAATTAAACCTCTCTCTTGATGCGAGACTCCCGTTAGGGCTTTAGTAAAGGAAGTTTGCCAGCAACTGAGACGTGTATGCCAAGCCTTCAAAACAATCATCAAGCCCAAAATGTTCCAAAAAGTAGCACAGAATAACGAAACGCGAAGCACAGCACCGTTAGAACGTCTCTACTGACAACGTCCAAGCTGAACAGAGATAAATATCTCAAGAACTCGAAGAAAAATAAGAAACTGGCTGAGGCGCGGGAAAATACGAGTTACCAACTAAGATTGTTTTAATTAGGGCGCCAATTTTTCTGGACGAATCAAAAGCGGGTTGACGCAAAACCCCCTTGCCATCCACGATCACTTTCTCCACGTACCTTGTTTGGATTACCAATTCTAAACCTCGCTTTGGCTTTCCGTCCAACAATTGCGTTGTAAAATATGAACTTGTTCTCGTCTTCTCCATACACTCCGGAGCCACTCGCGAGGTCGTGCGTCAAGTACTGGAATAAATTTAATTGTTTCACGATCAAGTGTTCTTCGAAGATAGAACCGATTGTCTCGGGGGTGACTGTAGTGATCCTAGGGATGCATGCTTCTCCAATCAGTTTGTAGGGTATTCCATGGGGTTGATCTGACGGCGGGCGGTCTGAGATGTCAATGGCAATGTCCTGAAATAAAACACAAGAAAAAAATTGTTACGTGGAAATAACCTTTGTGAGAATGTGAAATCGATTCTACAAGGAGTCAGAAAGGCAAATTCCTGTCCCCCATGCAAAACAATCTGCCCAACAAGCAGAGTTTCGCTCGACGTTGAAGTTGGTGCACAAAGTTACCGACAAACAGACGCTCAATCAAGTGCTCACGTCATAATTGACTTCGCTTAAAATCCGCCGCGCTCGCGCAATACAATTGGCGTCATAAAGACATTTCAAAAACACAGCGCGCGCAAGGTGCGAGAAAAAATCTAACTAACCTCTTCTGAGAAGCCTGGACTTTCAGCGACCATGTCCACCGTTACTTGCACAGAACTACCGGCCTGTACGCTTCCCACAGCTGGGTAGACAGTGAACATTCCAAGCTGAAGGCGAATGTTTGGTGCACCCGCGGTCAACTCGGCTCTGTAAAACAATTGAAAGCGCATTATTTCAATACTGCAGGTTGGGGATTGTAATCTGAAAAGTGTACGTACCTAAAAAAAAATAGTCGAGGGTCACGGATGGCCAAAAGTTGGAATGAATATGTACAATTTTCAAAAGATTTGCGATGAAATTTGGTTGGAGCGCTCATTCATATCAAATAACAATGAAATTACTTGACTTCTTTCGAATCATCTACATTTTATCTCAACATTCTACACTCCATTTCAACTTTTTGCGCGACGTGTTCCCAGCAAACGAACGTGCTGAAACTCTTGCATGTGTAATATCATATAAATAACCACATACCCTCGTATTGAATCTGCCCTCTTAGGTTTAGATGGTTTGTCCTGTTGAGATCTTCCCGAACTCGACCCATCACGTGATTTGGCTCTTTTCGTGGGTGGCACTAGTTTCTGGCGTCCTTGTGACACCGTGCTGATCATCTTTAGAACTGAATACCGGAATTCAAACTCTCCCTTGTTCTCGATGGTGAACACCCGGGTTTTCTTAGTGCTGATAAGCATGGCTCCAAAGTTAATGTCACTGACCGGTGATACGGCGTATTTACTGTACACGGAGCGCACGCTAAGTTTTATGGGAATACTGGCAATCACTTCACCGCCTTCGCCAAGATGAGGCTCTACGATCTGAAATAACCAATGGACATACGATAAGAACATCACGTGAGGCATTTACATCCGGAGGATTGAGGGAAGCAATTTGAATTGATTGGTGAGTTTCTAAAATGTTTTTAAAACTTCATTTAAGCATAAAAATAACCGAAATGGTACCAGTATTTTGATATAATTTCAAGTCAAGATGATACCGAAACGTTCAGTGATTTGCTAATTTTGACTCTTACAATTGAGATGTTAATCAAAAGTAAACTGACGGGTATCTTGCATTTCAAGTCATGAAAGGGACAAAGAAGCTCTCAGCAAAGACACAAAAATTATGCATTAGAGTTCTGTTCTCGTTTCCTGCTTCAATTCATAAATGTAAGCAAAACCAGTAACACAATACTGTAAAACCAATGCTGGTAAGTTACTTGCGAAAGCTTTTGTTCATGCATGTTTTGCTGTTGCTATAGTTTTTTTTGTTTGCTTGCTTGTTTTTTAAGAGGACAAAAACTGTCAAAGGTCATATAACTCTTAGGAAGGCCGGAGTAATTCGATAAACACGAAGGAATAGAAAGGTCCAAGTCATGACATATCTACAATATCGTTTGAAACGGTAAGCGAAAACACTGTTTACCTGGCATTTGAGGACAGGCTGGTCTTTAATAGTAATCTCACTCTTGGATCTGAAGATGACCTGTACTTGTGTAGGACGATCAGTGGGCAGAAGGGGACCCTTGTTAGGTATCACTGTAAACAGCTGTGCCACGTCCGCTGGTGAACCGTCTGTTGGCTCAAACACGAAATTGAAGTTGATTTCAAACTTGCCTTTGTTCTTTAGAGAACAAGTCAGTTTTGTTTCATCCAAAACTTTGAGAACGCCAAAGTCAAGACCGCCGTCTGCACCTGAAAAAAACAACGTAAAGCAATTTTGTTGAAAACAAATCTGAAGTGAGGATTTCAAAGCGAGGCCATTTTCCATCCAATAGAATAGTCACCGCTTAAGAATTAAGTTTGGCTATCAAATTAAAGACAATATTCAATATATCTCAAAATGACAAAATATTCACAGGTAGTCTTTGGAATTCGTTTGATGACAGTCTACCATCACTGTTACTTTAATACAATACGAAAACAATCACAAATGGATGCCAATACCTGTATTAGTCAAGCTACGTACCTTTAGGGAAACTCATATCTAAAGCAACATCATAAGACTCCGCGAGAACTTGTATGTTTTCTGCTTGTACCAGGCCCATGATCTGTTCCACATCAGACACCTTTGAAACACAAAACACTGCAGTTAACCAAACTGCACCTACAGCCGCAGAAGCTACAGCTACAGCTAAGAGCTGCAGCATACCACCTACAACCATGGACTGGCTTCCCATCCTATCCTAGTGGAGGAGCATACTCCTAGTCACCTCATGCCATAGAATCCGGTATAAGCTCTTTCAAAATGTGCCTCTTGGCTCGAGGGCAGACCTTCACTTTTAGCTCAGTCAAGTTAAGTGTATTTTCGTAGATCAAAATCGATTTGAATTATCACACTTCTTCGGATTTAAACAATTTTTAAAAATCGAGTTTCCAGATGGGATTTGAACCCACGACCCTCCGTGATCTAGTCAGATGCTCTAACCACTGAGCTACAAGAGACTCTATGGTGAGCCAGGGTCAATTAGTGGGTATTGACTAGAACCGCATCACGCGGCAAACAGCCAAACATCAGCTAGCGCATAGAAGCTCACTAACAGCATCACGCTGTCACATTCTTCGAATTTAGCTTAAATTTTATCGAGTTGAAGACCTACAGTTGCGCGTGCCAAAGTCTCGCTTCCTGAAAGTTTTTAATTTATAACTAGTGCGTTACGTGCCTCCAGCCTCACGATCTTTTTGACGTTGGTTGGCCGCACAGCTCTGAAGTGCATCTGAAGAGCGAACTCTGATTTAGCATCGATCACGCCATGTTCAGTAGTCAACGAAAAGTCATCACCCAGATTGTCCATCCCATTCACTCGCCACGCCACAGGTAGCAGAGTGCTGTTACGAAGGAAGATAATTTTTGTGTCTTTCCTGAAAAAAGAACAGAAAGAGCTATTCAGTATGTTGTCATGGCTGCGGGAATCCTAATACGAGGATGACAAGAGAGTGAGTGATTTAGTATGCTTTCTTTTTACTCATAATCTTTTTTGGGATGGAAATAGCCATAGATTCCGGTTTTTCAAGAAACGTTGGGTATAAAGTATTGCTTCTTTAAGCTACAATAGTAAAAAGTTTAAATTTTCCACCCGTTTGTCATAGATGTCAAACAATCTCCCAGTATCCTGATTCATCTTTGAGTAAGGAGAGGAGCTGTCAGACAATATTGCCTTCAAAAACCTTACACGAAAAACCAACGGAACAAAGCAAGGGATAAATTCTGATCGCTAGTTCCCGGAACCACGGAACACAATTTGAGCATTCTTGCCTCCCTTTCAATCACGTTTTGCTATAATAATCGCGGACGCATTCAATAACGGCATGAGTATTATGTGAAATGACAAAGTAGGAAACTCTGTAACTCTGAGGAACTCAATTAACTAGGGCAACCCAACAATGGTCACAGCACAGGCTCAAAACGAGACAACTGAAACCGAGGGCTATTTCGTCTTTGAGACTGCGCCCACTCATTTAATAAATATTGCTTTCAATCAGTTATGGCTTTGCTAAAACATTTTTAAGTTGTTTTATGACACGCGAAAGGGTGTGTCAACAGACCTGTGTAGTAAAACTCTATCGAACTGCAGCTGTCTCCGATCCAACTCCAGTTCAGGACGAACACCATGACAGGAAATCTTAAACACAACGGGCTCAGGATTCTCTCGAATACAGCACACCACTGCATCTTCGAAGAAGCCTGGTGTCTTTGGATATGCCCACAGAGTGAGGTCCTGCAACAGCAATAATAATTCTCACTATTTACAGCTGTTGAGCAATGACCAATAGCAGTAATTAATCAGGCACTGTTAAGTGTACTCTCCTAACACAGACATCAACCTAGGTTTGAAACTTGGGTTAGCGTCACACGAACATTGTATTTGGTATCATTATCGCATTATTTGCTAAAAAGGCCGTTTTTCGTTTATCATTGTGTCGCTTTCTACAGCTTTTCGCGACAAGAATCAAAACGCTAGCGTCTGCTGCAGCTGGTAAATACAAAACATTGCTAATTTGAACTTTACATATAAGGTTCAGAATGGCAATATCTTGAATTTACCAACTCTTCACTGAAAACATTTATGAGTTGACTTCCTTTTCAGTGAGCCTTCAAAGAATTCAAGGAAACAAATGGCAAAGCCTGGTTTCCTCACTTTACAAAAATCAGGATTTAAATCTAAGGAGTCTCGTCCTTATCGTTTTTACTTTTCTAGAGGGAAACCTTTCCTGCCTCTACCTGACTCTCTCCCGGCTTCAACTTCATGTTGGGCGGATCAATAATGAAGGTAACCGCTGTGCTGTCCTGCTGGAAACAAAAGTTGACATCTGCTTCCAGAGGAGAAGTGTTGCAAATCACTATCTTTTCCATATTCTCTGGATACTTCCCTTCTTTGTACCGGTCTCGAGTCTTACCTGTCAAAAAAGGAAATATAAAAACCATTTTTCTAAGTAAATGGTTTCAAAATGTCGAAGCTAATAGAATGTAACGTCTATTCTCCCTGCAGAATCCCTACTGGTGATTGATTCCGTTTAAATGCACGAATGTAAGGTTGGGAACATAAAGACGTAAGAAAAATATATTTCGGAATTTCAAGAAGACATAACACTACAAAAAGGAGAATAAAGCAACAGCCTAAACAACCTTTTTTACGCACTTTATTTTACCACAGCTTATAAAAAGGTCAAATCATTTAGACTTACCACAGAGCAGTGGACCAAATTCAAAAGTCTCACTACTTAGCACGTATTTCTTATGCACGATCTCTTCCGGTTTGCGGTACTTTCGGCGGTGAGGGAACACCACACGCGGCTCGCGACTTATGGCGGGAAAAGCACAGACGCCGCGGCAAAACAGCTGATAACGACGGCGCGTCCCCATGATCTCAAAGTTCAATGTTTGGTCAAACTGACCCACCTCCTCGGAACGGAAACGGATGCGTAACCTCACAATATCGTTGGCGGGAATGACCCAGCGGTGGCTGACGAGTCGAGGGGTGCTGGGCACCACAGTAGTTTCACTGTTGGATGTACAAACAGAAAACTATGCTGGAAATCAGTTACTATAACATAAAGCAATTTGGTACCAGCAAAGTTAACTCACTACGCTTTAGCAAATAATAGTTTGCTAAAAAGCCAATTAACCTCTTGTCTTCCTCTGCAGGTGTGATACTGGGTGGTGGAGATGGAGCCCCATGTGCGGCTTTACCCTTCCGGGCAGAGCCTCCCCTCTCCTTTCTGGAGTTTGTACCTCCCTCTCTATCGTCCTTGTCTTTACGGCCCTTGCGTCCATGTTCCTGCAATTAAGGGAGAGAACAGCATTGCCAACAAATCAGTGTTTAATAAAAGCTAATGACCACTTTTACGTGGTTGACGTAATCGACAAGGACAGGAGTCAAGATGTCTGGATACTAGGCTTTTTTTTTTTTTTTATATGGACCGTGATTCACAGGTAAACACCCCTAAATAAAAATTATGACCAGGCAATTTGGTGTGTTTAGTTAGACGTTTTTGCAAGGTTTCAAAATACAATTAAAAAGCTCACCGATAGAAACTTATCAAAAAGAAAGAAAACCAATTTGGCTTAATCTTATCATTGATTTTAGAGAGAGTTTCACAGACAATTTACGTACTCCAGCCCACTTTATCTGGCTCGAAATCTAATTCATGGAACCTGGGCTGTAAATAATAACAACAATCATAATGATAATAATCATAAAATAACGTACTAACCGGTGGTTTCTCGGGTGTTTTCTCCACCTCTAGTTCAGCTTCTTTTGTCTTATCCTCCTTAGGGGCATTAGGATCATCTGGCCCCGACGCCACGAATACATAATGAGAAGGGGGATCTAATCCCAGGGGTGGACGTCTTCGTACGGGATAAGGCACAACAGCAAAGGTGGCCGGGGGTGGGATTGGAGGACCATGGGGTCCCAGACCCAGACCGTCCATTACCTAAAATGGGCAAGGTCATATGTTCATTAGGAAGAAAACAAAAAAACACTTTTTGGAGTCACATGACAACGTCAGAGTCTGGAAGTTTCTTTCTTTTTTCTGCTTTTGTTTTTTTCGTTTTTTATACCCTTCGACCACGCTTTCTCTTTTTTCGATTGAAGGATTATACTCTGCAGCACTTTTAAATCGGCTACGCGGCTTGACAATTCCCCTTTGTGCGCTTCCACCAAAAAAAGAAGCCTCATCAAGGCTGTGCTCTAAGAAAAAGTGAAGGGAGTCCACTGCTTTGCAACTTTGAAATACAAGGTGCCCAGCGTATGCTATTACATGAAAAACTAAAATTCCCATGTCGCCCAAGAGCGAAAGTAAGGCGCTAGGGGCCACCGAACGCTGCTATACCACAGCCCTGCTCATCAAAGCTTAGATTTGTAAAAGGAACGGTAAATACAAATTTTCGTCGGATACATGAACGAAAATCAACAGAAAATTGATATCCTGGTTTGTTTGCCACAGTTACTTGTTATAGCAAACTAAAAAGCAGGGCACAACGGCAACAATTAGTAACTACCCGCTCAAGAACCAAACAAATTACAAAAATAATGGAAGTTTTGAATACTACACAACATGTGATCCAATTTGAAGAGAGAAGCAAAGTTGGTAAATAAGACTTTTGCAAGTTCCACTGTGCAAACGAGGACTAAGAAATCCTAACCAATCCCTATTTGGTTACCTCTTCAACTGTTGGCAGAATTCCTTTGGCTAGTGTCTTTTCAGCCTGTGACTCTGTTGGGTTCACTGTGTCCACAATAAGCTGCGGTACACCTACCCCGTCCTTTTTACTGCCATCATCGTCGTCATCATGATCACCGCTGAGCGCTGACATTGGAGAGTCAGAAATCTAAAGACAAAGTAGCATGAAGAAATCATTGGTCAACGTAAAGAAAAATCTGCTTGAGATGAAAAGCCCTCGCTCGCAAATCAGCTAGGAACAGCAACATCGAGACCACTGAGAAGCTCTCAATACTTTTCTTCTTTGACATAAAGAAAGGAAATGGGGAAACTTCAACATCGGATCTATCAAGATCGCCTTATGTGTCAGACGGTTACAAAACAGCCACCTTTTGAACGACTATCTACAGAAACTCTAATATTTCAATATCAAGACTCAAACAGGGCAATAGAAATTATACAAAACATTTTCCACACTATTTAAGATAAATCAATAACATAACTCGCAATTTTATTAGAAACCCAACCCTTGGCAGTTCTTTACACAGCAGTTTTTACGCGAAATGTGGCGTGGAATTTCAAATGTTCTCTTTATAATTTATTGAATCTGGGAGACTCTTCTCTTTCTTTAAAATTTTCCTTGTGTCAAATAAGGAATTGTTTTCAGATCACGGGTCTTCGATAAATCACACACCTCCTTCGCTATCTCTTTTTCCCTCTCCTTTTCTCGTTCTCTGAGTTCTTTCTCTTTCTTGTCTCGACCTCGCCTGGTCAATCCAGGCGCTGGTAGAAAGTCGTCAAAGTTTTCAGACTTGGGGGTGTCCGCTCGAGCCACAGTACCTGTAGATCGATCCCAGTTTTGCAGCAAGCCATCGATGTCTCGTAAACTAGTCTCGAATGCATTGAACCTACCAAACCGGCAAAAACATCCGCTTAGTACATTAGAAGTCTTTTCTTTTGACAAGACACCCTATTACGTTCATTAAGGGCCTCACCTTTTAGTAGAGAGATTTAAGAATGATGGACGTGGTGGTCGTGGTTGTGGGGACCAAATGGTAGCATCGTTAAAATGCTGTTGAGCACTTCCTACAATAACAGTATTATAGAAACGCTGTGTCAGTCTTAATAAGCCTTATGGTCACCTACTTCTTAGTAAGCTCCTTCTCTCTCTCTTCTTCCTCAGACGGTGGTTTAGATTCTTCCACTTGCTGGATCAACGGAGGGTACATTATGGCCGAAGACTGCCGATGTTTCTGCCCTTTGGCAATGTTCAGTCGCTTCTTGTCGTCGGTAACATCACTGCTGTCGGAACGCTCGGAAATCACCGACGGGGCGCCCGTGCGCGAGTCGAAGGGCTGTGCTTGTGACGACAGACCAGTGGTACGACTGGGTGTCAGCTTGTCACTGCTTTTCTCAGGTTTCTTTTCCTTTCCGTCATGACCTTTCTTGGCACCAGGTCCTCCTACTTGTTGAGTTGTTCGACGTTTGCTTTTTTGATTTCCACTGTAAGAAAGATATGAAAAATAACATACAATCGAAAAATAGGGAACTTTTCCATTCAAGGTCGTAAAACCACATCTAAACTTATCACAAGCGCTTGTCAAGTTTAGGAAACTCAAACAGCATTTCAGGCATTAGCTTGATTTGAGACTTAACTCTCTCTACTAGTTTATCGGGGGAATGCACAGCAACTGATCAGGAGAATTACCCAACAGATCTCAAGCTCAGGCTATCAGATTTGTCGTCTATGTTAAAGAAATTAGTTTAGGAATCACTAACCGCTCCTCCTCGAGTCTTTTTTCCTCCATCAAAGCTTGCAGTTCTCTTTCTTTCTTCTCCCTCTCTTGTCTTTCTTGCTCTCGTTTTCTTCTCTCTTTCTTTTGCTCCAAGTGTTTCCTATCTACCTCAGCTTTCTCCTCTTCCGTTAGAGCATCATATTCATCTTCTGACATCTCCTCTAATCGCCGCTTCTCTTCCTCTTCTTTTTGTTTTTCAAGCTTGGCTGATTAAAGCAAAATCAAATGTGAAACTTCCACCACATTTGCAGGAGTTACTTTTCCAGCCTTTACGATCTTCTAGTCCCCTTGCAATATAAAAGATACCAAGGCTACCCGTCGGTCGGAATAGAGTTTCATCATTACTATGAAAACTTGATCCAACATAATTTCTTCATCAGTGCATGTAGGGCAACTATTTTTGGTGTTGGTAGATCCACAGTCACCGCGTTTGATGTGTAACTTGTTCAAAAAAATGCCAATGATTATGAACGAAACACCGCCAAGCAAACATGAAAAAAGGCAGAATAACAACACACAGGCTGGGAGACCCCATGAGGATAAATAATATTTCAAATCTACTTGACTTGAAAACATGAGCCCAGTTGTTCAAAGGACGGATAACGCTATACAACGTATGAATCGCATACTGCACTATCCGCCGGATAGCTATAACATTTCTATATCATCAAGAAATGGTTTAGATATTCTGGTCTTCTCGGATAGGGACGAATAAATGGAGGTCCCGTCTCTTGCAGGTTTAGGGGCGGGAGACGTTAATTTCCCGCGCACCAGATTACTGTGTGATGGATTTCCTCCCCTGGGGTGGGATGGGTGGGTTGTTGTCTTGGGTTTTATACATGAGCCTCTGGCTCGGGCAATATGGGTAACCATACCCCACGTTAAGACATTAAACTTTGGTTATTAATACTATTGCTATTACTATTATGGCAATCTATCCAATGGAAAGCGTTATCCACCCAGCAAACAACCAGGGCCAGGTCTAAAGTGCACGTTGATGACTTCAGACAAAGCTACAGTTTAAAAGATAACATAGCCTCAGTTTGCCGAGTCATCATTCTCAACGAAAATGATTTAATTTTGTTGTTTATTTTTCCACGTAGATATAGCTGCCCTTACCTTGTTCCTCTTTCTTCTTTTCTTCCACAGCCTTTAGCTTGGCCTGATCCAACATCAGTGTCACAAAGAAGATATATTTGCGGTTATTGAAAGCACGCAGGATAGCGTTTGTTGAACCCATCATGTTCGGACTGAACAGAGACTCCAAGCCATCCACTACGATTCCTCTCTGACAGTCACTCAACTAAAATCAATGATTACATTTTAAAAAAAAAGCTTTATTCACCAACGAGCTGCCTTTGGAATAAGTAGTTACGGTTTCAGCAGAACATTCTTATACTCTGAAAGATTACATTTCACGGAAATGGTAATTTGGTTTCCGTTCTAAAACTTGTAACACATTATGAAGTAGTTAACCTGGATTAAAACAATCATCGCCTTCTTGGTTCACTTTCTCTCCTTACCTAACAGTGAATCTTCATTGTTACACACTACAATCAAATGGTATGTTATGCAAGTAAGAGAGCGAGATTAAGTGTTGAGCAATTGTAAGTACTTCCGGAATATATATAAATAGATACTTTAATGTACATACAATTTAGTCACTTTAGATTGCTGAACAAGAAAATAAGTCTCGATGAGATAAGTGACATGTTATGGACACTTCCAAAAGTTGTTCTCGAACGCGTACACTAACTTCCTTACCCCATTTTCTGCTGTCTAATCAGAAATCACGATAGTATTTATCTTCTCAAACAAACCTGAAATCGCTCTGCCAGTAGTTCGACAAGAAGATCCTCAGGAAGGAGGCAGCTGTACAGTCCGTCTTCACCAGCCACGCTAGCACTGACACTCAGCTTTCGGCCTAAAGGTGCAGCCTGGGGTGGGGTCCCTGGGGGCGATTGCTGAAGCTGAGGAATATTCTTCCCAACACCTCCTCCACGAGGGCCACCAGTAATGGTGGAAGTCTTACGATCCTTCCCAAGAAACGACTGGGCCCCAGTGACAGAGCCCGCAGTGGAAGCCGAGGGACCGGTGGCTGCACCCAGTGCAGCTACAGCATCCACACTCAGTCCCACTGTGGGTTGACTTAGCTGTAGTTCGGCAGTTTGTTCCGCTTCCTTAGCAGCTCGAGCAGCTGATGCACACAACTCCTTGGCTCTTTGAGCTGTAAAAGCGGGCAAAATTCCACAATCAAGAGAGATTACGAGCCGAATGAGTCATCCCCCCGGAACTCGCCCCGTTGTTTTCTCTAGTAACTGTGAACAAGTGTTATCACAACTCCTCTTGCATGTGATGCTCGTGCATAGCAGTTAACCTATCCAGCATTTCATCCGGTTTCCCAGGTATTTCGCGGATACCCATATCTTTAAACGCTTTGGAAGAGAGAGACACTTTGCGAGTTAAGTGTTAGGCCATCTAAAAGTGGTGAAAATGCTTAGTCTGCAATCATCTGCTGTAATTGGAATTTTATTCTCGTCTACCAATGAATCAAGATTGACATTGAAATCCTGTTAGGAACCAGTCTAACTGCAAGTAAGTACTTCTTACTCGTCCGCGTACCTTTCGTCGACTTTGATACTCATTTTGTTGGTATTTTAGCACTTTATCCAGGATTACCAAAATCCCGCACATGCCCACTATAACTAACCTGCAGAGGTGTTTCCATTTGATATCGCCTCTATAACCACTCCATCTATTGTAAGTAATGCTGCTCCATAACTTTTAGCAAGCGATACCGCTGTGGCCGTCTTTCCCGACAGAGGTGCTCCGTGTACAACTAAAGCAATACCTCGTCTGTTACGGGCTGCCCTTCCCTCTGCAGTCAAGTCGATACCAAGGTACCGTGCAATGGAAGCAGACACGGGTGTGATTTCCAGTTCGCCAACACCGAGGCTGCTGCTGTCTGTAAAGACAGAGACAAAATTACACATTAACTGTAAACAAATCTCTTACCAATATACCTCATGATCCATACTTCTGTAATTCCGTAGTTTCCTCCCTTACCATCTTTTGCTCCTTCCCCCACATCACTACCAGCCCTGCCACCTTCCCAATCACCGGAGGCTGAAGCAGGTTGTGTAGCAATGATAGGAGGCACACCTTCCACTCCTTCCTCCACGGCCCTCTCTGCCTGAGCAGCCGCTGCAGATGCGGCAGCCTGCGCTTTCTCTTTCTCTTCCGCTTCTTTCTTTCTCTGCTGTTCATTGTAGGCATCTGTGATTTCTTGAGGAAGCTTGTGCCCAGGTTCACGCGGAGGGAGGAGAATGGTGTTGTATTCATCGTACCCTTTCATTGTGCGAAGCATCTGCAAATACAGCAAATTCACTCACTGGTACATTTTTTAAGTTTTTATGAGTAATTTACCTTAGATCACAGAGCAAAGCTCTAAACGATTCAACAGTTCAGCTTAATATCATTTGAAGGTGGTAGCCTGATTTTCGCCCAAACTTAGTCAGAAGGGAACAAAGTATAGATCATACCGGCTAGCGATAATGTTGAAACAAAGCCGTGTGATGGGTAAGAAAAGTTGGAATTATCAATTAGCAAAATTTTTTATCACAGACGAACTTGAATAAGATGGTTTCTTTAGCTTAACGGTGTAGTAAACGTTCACGTGTGTCATAATTCGCCTTTGTCGGAGTTATCTATTTTGCCTGTTAGTGCTTAATAGAAATCGAACTTTCATTGCAAATGTTTTCAACCCAGAAAAAGAGGATCACTTTGTCAATCTCACTCGAAATAACGTTAATGTTTTTTGTTTGTACCTTCTCCTCCTCCAGATACTGCTTGTCAAACTCCAACGAGTAAATTTCAACAGGAAAAGATGAAGGATTTCGCACAATTACTTCTTTCTCGTCCCCAGATGAATGAGGAAGGACTGGACCGAACTCGATCAGGGTAGAACTGAAGTCTAACTTGGGCTCATTTCCCTGACCGCTCACGCTGATCATGTGACGGCTTGAGCTTTGGGCGATCCGGATAGCAAGGCGATGGCTGTAAGAGATCTGTTGTAGAAGGAACAGGCAAAAGATTATTTTAAAAAGATTATTCAAAAGTAGATTAACACCCGAAAAAACAGTAATAGAACAAAGCAATGCAAGAATAAAATCCCTAAAATCAGTTACAACAGTTTCTCACCTCCTCAGTAGGCATGAATTTGACTTGGACATTAATCCGCTGACCAGGCATCAGGGAGCCGATAGGCGGCATCACTTCAAAGTGTTTTGGTTTAGGTTTTTCTGTGCGAAGCTTTTTGCGTAGATGAAGTGGAATCATTTTGTCGGACTGCGTGACAAAACACGAAAAAATACTGTCATTTTCAAAACCCTCAAATCAAATATTGGTAGCAAGACTTACAAATTACGTTTGCTTCTTGGGTTCATATCTACCTTTTTCTTTTTTTCTTCCGGAGGTTCAGATGACCAGTCACACCTACAAAAAGAAGTTTTAAAGCACAGATTTAGAACAAAATCGAAGGCAAATATAAATGACATGTTTTTTCCCTGTAAAACGATTTCTTTTCTTCTAATCTTTGCATAAATGAAACACAATAAAAAGTTAGATACAAAGTAGAGATGCTAAAGAATTTAGCAAGACAGAATTTCGAACATAATTTTCGATGCAGTTTTTTGTTATTGTTATTTTTAAACAGGATTGGTAAAAGGATCAGTAGGAAAAAGGGTAAATTCAGAATTAATTTTTGCCTTTTACGTAAACATTATATTTCAACTCCCAAATCTCTCTTTAACTTACTATTAAGTACTTCTTTGATACAACTAAGAATAGATACCATGTAACGTTTTGTATCTTTTTTAATAAACAAAAATTGTGCATCGTTTTAAGAATGACGTAGTCAACATCTTTGACACTATTTCAGTAGGTGGTATATGAGCAAGAGAACGGTTTCTTTCTTCCAGATATTCTGTTACAAATCAAAATCCCGCTAATTTTTCTGAATTTTTCTCTTGTTCTGTTTTCTTACTGAACGTGTGAAAAAGAAACTTGATGATGACGAGGCCCAGACTGGATACTCGCCTGACTTGTTGGTTGTTGTGTAGCTGTATTGTCATGACCTTACTATTCCCGCACTCCACCCTACCAAAATCTAACGAGTCCGTAGATATTGTCATGTCCGGCATTGTCACCACAGCTTTGATCCGCAACCCAGAAGTAGGACCATTGAGCACGTGAAAGGGTACGTTCAGATCAACTGGTCCCATGGGAAGACCAGCCGCTCTGGGGTCAAAGGTCACCATGAATTCCATACTTTCGTTATCTGGTTCACCGGGAAGGCTACGCACTCGGTCCAGTTCTACTCCAAATCCGCTTCCCGACAGAACTGATTTGTCAGGTGCAAAAGATACAGGTAAGTGTCCATTGTTGGTGACACGGACAACGTGTGACCGAACTGTGCCATAAACCACATAACCGAAATCCAGGAGATAACTGATCAGCTGAGCTCTGAAAAAAAATAGCACAGTTCATTATCAACCCTATTTTACACAACTAAGGCTGTCGGACTCTAGAAAGCTAAATCTAACCTTAAAGACCATTTTAAATTACTGATCCTTTACGAGTGGGAGGGCGAGCATCTTTTTCAAGGAAATAACTATGAACTACAAAAATGGATGGCTGGCATTGACGTGGAAGCAATTTTCATAATACAAAAATTACTTTGTCGATCTTCAGGAGAAGAATCGATTCCAGAGGAGTACAAGTTGCTCCTAAATGAACAGTTTGTCCATTCACTATCAGGACAAACACCTGACTACTTCTAAACTTCTAAGTATTTTTTCCTGAAATAACAGTTGCTTTCACTTATGAAAGTAATCGCAGAAGAACACGCAATCTATCTGATGTAGACAGAGGTTATGGAAATGAAAGTGCATCATATTGTATGTGCCCCGCGACGAAATGTAACACATGATAAAACATACTTAGGTCGTTGTTTCTTTGTTGCAGTTTTGTGAGAACTGGAGGTATGCACAAGTGACACGTTTCGTGTTGACTCTTGTTGCTCCACAGCAAATTGTTTCACTAACAGTCGTTCCACCTCCATCTGTACTCCGATGTCGCCTACAGACTGAGGAATGATAATTGCAAAAATTATACTTACAGTTCAGCTATAAAGTTAAACACTTGGCGAACAAAGAAAATTTCTATAAGTATTCCAAACTAATCGAGAAAAGTTTCAGTTAGGGTCTGTCCATATTAGACCCGCGAACAAGGCCAAGACGAATTTTTTCATCTCTTCAAATGGAAAGCGAGCAAAGACGTCAGTCTAATTCGTGAAGGAGAGATTTCAGCTCGGCTATTAAGATGAAAAAAGCGCGATATTTCAAGTTTCATCCCTGATACCCAACCGATGGGTTCGTGAATGGAATATTTCGATCCCTGTCTCCGAGATTTCGATTTCTACAACCGAGATCACAGTAACCTTTCTCCTCATAGGAGCATATCGTAATACAAGCAAATTCTCCATACTCTTCTCTATGAATTTTCTATTGCACTGTCAGGAAGAATTTGTTTAACAATCAGGAGCTTTGTAAGAGGACCAAGGACACTGTAAGGAGAACTGAAGGTGCTATTCACCCTTAGAGGTGTAGTGATCAAGGTTGGGGTTAATTCAAATAACGAATCAATGATTTGATGTGAGAATATTAACTAAAGGTACGCGCTTGATGCAGGTGTTTTTTTTTCCCATAAGGTACTGTATCCTCACGTAACAAACTCCATTTTTGCTCAAGAAAAGAGCAAATGAAGATCCTTTTTTTTTCCTTGCTGTACTTACATTTGCGAGAGCTCCGAACGGTACATCATCCACACTCTTTTCTGATAGGTTTGAATTTTCTCGTTCCAGGTTCTCGCGTGCTTGCTGGGTCAGCTCCTCGTATCTGGCGTCTTCTTTGTTATGGGGGAGGTCAAACATGACACGAGGAAACACACCCACCCCAGACAGGGTGATTTTGTTCGGTTCAAAGTGAGCAACTCTAACCTGTATAACAAATGAAATAAAGAGCAAAAAAGGATTACGTTGCACGATAAGGAATGTTAGCCTCGCTTAACCTTTAACACCCCAACGTCAGTATGCATATTCTCCGCATTACTCTACACATTTCCTAAGGTGCTGACAAGGAGAATTTGTTCAAAATCAAGAGCCTCATTAGTTGATGATCATTTCCTTTACTCTCATTACCTTAATGGTTGATTTAAGGGTGATTTTGTAAGGAGAAATTAGATGCCAGTTACTGTTAGGGGTAAAAGAGTTAACAGATCAAGAAATATAGTAGAAACTATGTACACTATCATGTTCTTGTTCAACTATTTAGTCTAAACCTAGCTTGAAACTTGAATTAAGCATAAACAAGAATAAGCAAACATGTTTTAGGCAGACCTCATATCAAGTGAACACCCTACAAAGAAAAGCGGAAAGTAGCCTTACTCCCAATTTTTACTGGAAGGAAAAAAAAAAAAAAACGCCCGCAAATAACTATGCTAAGCAGACACGGACACCAAATGTAAGCATACCGGTACATATCAATTGCTATTTCCTTACTTATCCAAACTGATTTAAAAGGAGACAATCGAGATTCCCGCAGTTGTGCGCTGAATAAAAGTTTTCATTCTAATGAACCTTTCAACGTAAAAGTTACCCTATCTATTATCTATTTTACTGGCTTCATAAATTAACAAACACGTGAAAAATCTGAAGCACAACATAGCATTCCTCTGTATTTAAAGAATACGATAACACTCGAGAGCAACAGTTTTTTTTTTTTTTTACCTGAAATGTCTTCTCAAACTTTTCGGGCACACCAGGCAGATATTTGATGGTAAGTGTTTGGTGACTGAGGGCCTTAATGTGCCCTTGGACTGGTGAAACATTAGGGGCGCCCGGAAGGAGCTTATTTCCACTGTCCACGTTGAGGACCACAAAACTGAGGCCAACTTTACCAGTATTGTGGAGAACAATTTCTGCGACTGCTGCTTGGTCAAACAGCTATAAAAAATGTAGTTTAGATGACTGCATAAAATTTAAAAATATAGAAGAAAAAATAAGTAATTAAATAGGTGCGTCGTGCGTGAGAAGGAAACTCTGTTTGTACTAAAGCGTGTTTCACATTTGACTCACTCAAAGTCCTGGCCGCGGTTTCCCCGGCCTCCCGGTTAGCTCAATTGGTAGAGCGCCGGACTGTTGTGCGGGAGGTCGAGGGTTCAAGTCCCGGCCGGACCAACACTCAGGGTCTTAAAATAACAGAGGAGAATTTGCTACCTTTCTATAATATCAAGATATGGATAGATGTTCTAGTCTTCTCCGATAAGGACAAATAAACCGTAGGCCCCGTCTCCTGCAGGGTTAGGGGTAGGAGACGTTAATTTCCCACGCACGAGATTACTGTGTGGTGGATGTCCTCCCCTGGGGTGGGATGGTTGCGTTTACTGGGCCCGCGGTAATTGGCGCAAGCTGTTGCGGTGTCCCTGCCTGTCGGCGAATCTAATAAATTAAAATTTTCGAGGGTCGGATAACGCTATCCACTGGATAAATCTATATCCGGCAGACAACACTATGCGTTTTGCTATCACTTAACCACTGGTTAGCGAATTATCCACTGAGTAGCGCTATCCGCCCTTAATATAACTGAATCCTGTTCATCAGACTTTACTTTATTGACGATAAATAAATCAAAGTTGTTTTTCCGGTGTCGGTCCTGAACTTGACCTTCAAATCCTTAAAATATAGTTTTCACGTATGAGATGATTCAAACTGCATTTGCTATACCTGTTTTCCATAGTCGACATTCTGCCGATCAAAGAAATACTGCACTAAGGACGCTTGACCCAAGAGCTCAATGTCGTAGTCAGGTCCTCCGTAGACAGAACAGCGGGCAACAGCCTTGGAACTAATGTTGGCATGACCATAAAACGTGAACTGTATTTTCTGTGTCTCGAGCGGATGAAGGGTGCTATACAGTGGTAAGATGTCAAAAATCTGCCAGAGAAAAATAACATGAAACAAGTTAATCCAAAAGACCTTTCGACTTTTAACTAAGGGTTGTACCCGCAAGACTAACCCTCTGTGCTGTTTCATTTGATCAGAAAAGTGGCAAATATGAGAAAACCAACCTCCTCAATTCCAATATCAAGCAGTTCAGTCTGTCTCCACGGTACTGCCAGATGATTGGCTGGGCTGGCATCCTGTGGCCTCTTTTCTGAAGCAGTAGAAGGTCTGCTCATTACTGGTGATCCTGTGAGGTCTACAGGCCGAGGTGAGTCGGGGGTATGATCACCTGTTACTTCGATCATCACGTTGTCAACATCTTCCAGTTTTTCCTCACTGTCCCCTTGGCTGTCATCATCAACCTCAACTACAATTCCTAACAAGCAGGCAGAAGAAATCTGTAATCATATTTCATACTCTGTGGTTTTAAGTATAGCTTGTGCAGCTTTCTCTCCGTTTCCTTTCAACCATGCGCGAGTCGCACGAGGATCCGCTCGTAGGTTTTTTTATTTATTAGCTTTTAACTCTTAACATTATCAACTTAGTTGACGAAACCAAGTTATCTAGTTACACTCCCCCGCCGATACAACATCGCATATTCTTTAAAAACCTACCCCCTTTAATCACTGATTTTTTTTTTTTTTAGCTCGCTTTCTCTTCATGCGACCCAGCGCTCCACTCACGCTTTTTTCCGCGAGGATAAAAGAAGACGCAAAGGACTGTAGTACATATACCAAGAGCTAACCGCCTCCCGGTTAGCTCAATGGATAGAACGCTGGACTTTTGTGCGGGAGGTCGAGGGTTCGAGCCCCGGCCAGACCAACACTCAGGGTCTTAAAATAATTGAGAAGAATATGCTACCTTTCTATAACATCAAGAAATGATTAGATATTCTAGTCTTCTCGGACAGGGACGAATAAATGGAGGTCCCGTCTCCTGCAAGGTTAGGGGCAGGAGACGTTAATTTCGCACGCACAAGATTACTGTGTGATGGATGTCCTCCCCTGGGGTGGGATGGGTGGGTAACTGGACCCCCGTGGATACCAGTGTTTACTACACTGAAGGGGCTATCCTGTATAAATATAGATGTCTACTTCTACTTCTATCATGTTTGCGAAATTCAATGGAGCGTCGAGTACCTTCATCCTCCTCTTTGTTTTCAAACTGAATAGCTGAATCAATAAAACTCCACTGATATTTGACATCCATTGGACTGTGATTAGTGACTTTCACAACTTGTGTCACTTCTGTGTCATTCAGTATACATCCAAAGTCAACCTACGGAGGTAAATCAGCATTACCTTCCATTGACTAAATGTATAGATATTTATAGTATAAATAGTCAGTATAGAAATANCAGAGGCGCCTGATAATCCTGACGTCCGATCTCAACCTTAGTAACACTGTAGACCTTAGCAATTCAGCCTATGCTGCTATTAAGGTATCGAATCATTCACTTTCACTTTCCCTTTCCCTTTCATATAGTCAGTATAGAACAAAACGCTTTGGTTCTAGTTTTTTCCCAGCAATGGCGAAAATTAACTAATCATAAGGTCTAGTTATCTCTATTATAGTATTTTATCTACCTCTGAATTGTAAATTATTTATAAATAGCCTGTAATCCCAGTCCCTCAAAAACAAATGTAATTTTATCTATTCCCGTAATATATATGTAAGCACATTGTAATTCATAATTTTATGCCACCATGTGTAGTTTTTAAAAAACCATCATCATCATCATCATATTGGGTAAGTAAGCACAGATTTTGAGCATAACTGTTACCCCAAGAGAACAAAGTGTCTCCTACATAAAAAAAAAGGTTAGTTAACATACCTTTTCCATCTCAAATGTAAGATTAGGGAAGAACACCTCTCCTTTCAGACTCACAAAGTCCTGGAAGAAGTAGCACGGTATAATTACTCAATAATCAAATCATAAAGGCTGATAGTTTCTAAAGAAACTGTTTAGGGCTGCGTCGGTGGGGGTAACGAAATAATTTGAATATATCAACAAAGTTGAAATGGTAAAAGGGCTAACGCTCGAAACGTCAGCTTTTATAATCGTAACGGTGGCCAATTTACCATTTCAACTTTGTTGATATATTCAAATCAAATCATAAGCTACGATTGTGTAAAGCCAGACGCAAAGGTTGTAAGCTCCTGATAAAGCTCTACCCCTTTCACTCCCATGATTTCTTTAGTAATTCTCCTTACTGTCTACCAGACAATTCTTATGATGTTAGTTTGGAGAATTTAGTTTTAGATCCACCAATTATTTTCTTATTGAAATTTTTCCCTTATTCTCCTCACTTTTCTGCTTGATATTGTATTGATATTGTAAGGAGAAATTCTGTCTTGATCACTCATGGGAGTTAAAGGGTTAAAGCTAAAATTTCATCATCATCATCATCATCATCATCTTTTATTTGCCTTATTTTAACAATAAAAATATTTAATTACAGCGATAACGGTTAAAAGGCGAGGAGACCCAAGAAGACACCAGGCTTATGGGAGAGCCACCTCACTTACAATAATAAATCAAGTAAAGAAAAAGTGCTGCGAATGTGTGGCTTGGCCAATTCAGTGGTTATTTAAGTAAAAACTCTTGCAATTTCAGGGGTTTCGAGAACTATTTCCATAAGCGGCTGCCGATAATGTAATCAGCGGCTGTGATGTCAGGCGAAACCCAAGCACGAGAGTCTGCTTGCAGGTTCAACAGACGGCGGTGAAAGGTTCTACATGAAGCGGCGGTAGACCGTTGGTAACCGGCTTTCATTGAAACCGCTGAAATTTCTAAATACTTTGTTGTTTATCGATAGAATAATTTTAACTACAGTAGCAAAATTCTGAAACTGCCTTTTTCAAGGTACGCCCTTGAAGGGGCGTGGTGGAGGATATTGGGCTGTGTGTGCTTTTTTAACTTATAACTACAGCATTGAGTTCTGTTGCTGAGGTAAGTATGACAAAGTGAAAAAGAGAGAGTGAAATCGAATCAAATGATGAGCTGATCGTATTGTCGGATCGCACTGGTGAAGCTGAAACCTCAGTCAATATATGACCAACAAAAGTCACTTTCAAGACAAGTATCGCCGACACCATCAAACTACAAGATCAATGGTTTCTCTCAAAACCCTTAAAATTTAAGAGAGAGGTCTCCCTTGATTCACTATTTGTCACTAAGCTGAATATACATATACAGCACTGTTACTGCCTTGACCATTCACTCATTCCGCAATTAAAATGAAGATATTTCAGGAGTGAAGACTCAATTATTGAGCAAAAAGCTATTCACCTTTTGTGGATGTTCTTTGAATGACACCTCCAATTGACTTTCAGCAGTTCTGGTCACAAAATTATCCTTGTAGGAAGGATCAAACTGGATCAACACGGGTATATTCTCACCAACGCCAAGTGACACCTCCTGAAAATGATAACAATAACCCCAGAAAAATTACACAAACGCTTACTAATGCCTTCTACTAACATGTCCTCTGATGCCACAGTGTACATGGAAGGCAACTAGAACATAGCTTAAATTTGTGAGCCTCAAATGTGCCATGTACTCGTACATGTAATCCGGTCAAAATGTCACGCACGCACAACACTTTAGTCACGACTTGCAAATTATTGCCTCCTCGAACATGTAAATTTTAAAAATAGGCCTATTATTTACGTCTTGTACAAGAGTAATGTTGTTAACCTTACTTGTACAAACTCCTGATGAAGTCTGCTATCGTCAGACGCTACGCGTAGGATGTTGAGCAAGTTTTTTTTTTAAATTAACTTCGTGCTGTACTACTCACTAGGTTATCATTAAACGAAGTGTGCCCTGCTCGAGCTCTGCGTTTTGTGCCGGTACACAATTCAATCAACCTCGGAAAAAAAAATCAAGCCCAACTGGTTTGCTGTCGTGCAAACGCTGTTTCCTAATTTTCCTGTCTATGAGTGGACCATTTGGGTCAATGACTCACCGATTGGGAGGATTTTACATTAACAGGAGCCCAGCGTGGATCCTCTACAAGCAACTGAAAGGGATAAGAAGCTTCTAACACGACTGTGAGTGGGAGCGACGACACATTGTGCATCATAACTTGCTTGGTCTCTACTTCCAAAGTGCTCTCAGGGTGCTACAGGTAAAAAAAGAAATAAATTATAAAGTAGTAATTTCTATGTTCAAATGTAATCCATCTAACATAATTGCCTTCATCAACAATTAGCAGAGAGAGTTGAGAGCCATTCACCCATCAAGAACAAGAAGTTCCCCAAATCAAAATTCTGCTGAAACACAAAGACCTTTTGGTAAGGGCAAATTTCCAAGGCATAATAATTCTTTTAACGGCTCTAGGTGGAGGCGAACTCATTGTTAGGTGAGTTTGAAGCCTTCAGTATTTCCTCTGGTCTAGGTTTGTGATTTCAACCGTTCCGGCATTTTTGTACCCATCCTTCACTAACGACAAGGGCGATAATTGTCACAGAACACAGAAACATCAAGAATACAAAAGCAAACATTCCTCACCCGGCAATTGTAGCAATTCTGTTTTAAGTTTAACTTCCTTACCTTCATGACACAGAAGTTTATCTCCCTTTGAGAAAATGACAGTAGTGGGCTGATAAACTCGGCACTAACATCCACCCTCATGATACGTTCCTTCCCAGTACTGGTGCCAATGATAGCATGACAGAACATGCGCTCCTTCACAATTTGTGGCCTAAAGAAATACAAAAATAGAGAGCTTGTCGTAATAAAGTTTCCCTTATAACGTATACACCCATGTGTGGTATGAACACGGGCAATTAAAGTCATAATTTATAAACAACTCAAGAAATGTCGTTGTTAACATCAAAGAATCTATCATATGACCCGTCCGGCCCGGCTCGCGCAATCCCATAGAAAAGCATGATGAAAGCTCCACTATGTAGCGCCGGACGGGTTGATGTGAGCCGGTCCGGAAAAAAGCCGTCCGGCCCTAGTGTACTTTTACGGAGACATTGTTCGCTGTTGTTGCAAAAAACGAGTGACAGCAGTGAACAAATATGAGAAAATAATACTACGATTGATTGCGAGCTTCTTGTTCTGACTCGATAAAATAAAGGAAAAGTGTTTATTGTAGAATCTTCTCTCTGGTTTTCTCGTGCGTGCCAGTCTATTGCGTCCTATTCAAAACAAACTTTTCAAAGTTTACAAAACTTAGTCGGTGGTCAATATGATAAAGTCAGTGCTTATCGACATAGTTAGTAAGGGCCGAACGGGAAAATATTTGGCTCTCGTGCATGTCGAACAGACCTCGCGACCTCGAGCATCGATCAAAATGTTGATTAGCATCTGCTTCTTAAGCAATCATGTTACTAAGAATTCAATTGAATAAAGATTGGAAAAACAAGTTCTCTTCTTACTTCTCGCAATAGCCTTCTAGTTGTACTTTTTGGCTCTCTCCAGGATGGAGCACCATTCTGTCGGGTGTCAACTGAAAGACCGGCTTGGGCGGATCAGCAGGTGGTGGTAAGCCCTAGTAAAGTGTACATGAACCGTTACATTAGCAATTCCATAAATATTATCATAATTAATAATCTACAATAGCTCTAGTTGCACTTAAACTTCTAGTTTCTGTAATTGTGATTAAACTAGAAGGTATGTTCTCATTATCACTTCAACCTTTATGCTAGTCTGAATTTCAGCCGTCTCCCCAAGGGAGGCGCGGGAGAGAGTCTCTCTCCCGCGCCTCCCTTGGGGTAAAGGGAAGAGACGGCTGAAATTCAGACTACCTTTATGCATAAATGGGAAATTAGCCTTATGGGTTTCAACACTTTCCGGAGACAATCTAAATACTTATAGCCTGATTTCACGTAGTGACAGGCTGAATGTGTCTATAGCACGGTAAAAGAATTTATAGCATAACTAAAGCAAAGCGCGCGTTCTGATTGGTTAATTCAGCATGTACTATTTGCCCATGGGTGCATGCTGCTGACGTGAGCAAATGCTAAGACTATTTTTCCGCGCGCGCTTGTTTTTTTCTGATCACGTAAGATTTGTTAAATAAAAGGGAACTCTTGTTCCAATGTATCAATGTTATGTTATAAAACAAATGGTGAACGCCATAGCGTGTACTATTGAGTTATGGATGCACTTGGGAGGTTTGCTAAGCACTCAAGAAGTTGGAGTCGCACTCGGCTATCGCCTCGTACGACTCTTACGCTTCTTTCGTGCTTAGCAACCTCCCGCGTGCATCCATAACTCAATAGCACACGCTATGGCGTTCACCATTTGTTAATTGTAAACAATCTTCGCCTTTCACTGGCAGCTAAGTAACTTCCGCGTTAAATTGCACGTGAAAACCGATATCACACGAATCGCGAAATCATGAAGTGCGATATCGGTTTTCCGTGAATCGCATAATTGAATCAAAATAAGAAAAAAAAAAAAAGAAAACAGCATAACCTATAGTTGTTATGTATATGCAGATGTAAAACAATATCACTTAGCCTCGTTTTCAACTCGTTCTGAATGACTCGTTTTCAACCCACGCTAAACACCTCGCTTCGTGAACCAATCAGAATGCGCGATTTTATTCAATGATGCGATTCTACCTGGAATCTCATGTCTTCCGGGTTGTACTCAGGCTTTTTCTTTGTCCTGTACGGAAGGAAACCTTCAGTGGTCCAATAAATCTGCTGAGGTCTCCTCCCACTATTTGTCAGTTGATACGATCTCTTGACAGGCTGACAGCTGAACTGTGGACCAAGTTCTACAGCTGGAGCTAACGGAGGATCACTGACGATGGTTGTGCCAGAGCCGTACGCCACGAGGCTGACAGTTTGGATCTGACTGTCACTGATGTTGATTGACAGCTTGTCTTGAAACCTGACAGATAATAATTTTATGCAAGGGAACAGATGTTTCATAAGTGAAAGGACAACAGCTGGTGATAGCTTTAAAGGAACTCTTTTTGTAGCAATTAAACCACGGAGAAATTTTAGATCAATGTCAAAAGTAACCACCTCAGGTGCCTTGGTCAGTAGTGCTTCGAATGCTGAACGTTTATTCATTTTGAGTTCTTATAAAGATGGTAAGTTTTGAGCGCGGTAACGAAATGTAGAAAGATGTTTTTTCGTCTGGTCACGAGGGTCTAGCCACGCTCGTGACAAGACGAAAAACATCTTTCTGCTTTAGTTTTATTTTACAACATTCAATCGAAAAGCAATCCAGCATAACAAGGTAGGGTTCTTACTTGACTGTATCATCCACATTTGCGGTGACTTTAAGTTGCAGAGTATTTTCAGGTGGAATAACACCCTGGGCTGGCTCAACAGAAAACAACGAATTCGGACGAACCTGTAAAATCAAGGAAAGGACGAGAATATGTTACCTCCAACTGCTTCAAAGACATTTTAGGATATACTAAAGTTCACAAAGCAACCAGGTAGACAGTTAGACATGGTTTGATGCTACTGTGGTTTAAAGATTTAATGAATGTGACCAAGAAGTTACAATTCATAGACCCAACGTTTCGACACTCCCGTCTAGTGCCTTCATCAGGGGTGATCTGGGCACTAGACAGGATTGTCGAAACGTTGGGTCTAATTGACTTGTAACTTCTCGGTTACATTCATTAACTCTTTAAACCAGAGGTGCATCAAACCATGTCACATTTTGGGATGTACATGTATTTACCATACTGCAAGAAAACTGTGCTGGAATCAGAGACTCGTTAGACAGCTGCACAATCTGGGAGATGTCAGTTAAAACTGGTATGGTCCCAAAATCAACATGAGTTGAAAGAACATCAGTCACTGGCCCCTCACCAACACATTGGATCTGAACTCCCTGTAACAAAAGTACAATTATAACGTACTTTGCATGGTTAATTAAGCAGAGCGCGCGTACATTTTTATAATAAGTAAAAGAACGCATTTTTTATATATTAAACATCAATGAAAGACCAGGTGAGCTTTCGCTTAGAGATACGAAATTTCTCTTTTCGTGTTGAAATTATTTCCAGACTTAAAGAGAAATATTATATCTTCGCGCGGCCATGTAATATCCTGTATTATAACATAACCAAAGTAAAGCGCGCGCTCTGATTGGTCAATTTAGCGTCCCCCATTTGCCCATGGGTGTACGCTGCTGACGTGAGCAAATGCAAAGACTATTTTTCCGCGCGCGCTTGTTTTTTCTGGTCACGTAAGATTTGTTAAATAAAAGGGAACTCTTTAGCTACAATGTATCAATGTTATGTTATAAAACAAATGGTAAACACCACAGTGTACACTATTGAGTTATGGATGCACTTGGGAGGTTTGCTAAGCACTCAAGAAGCTAGAGTCGCTCTCGGCTATCGCCTCGAGCGACTCTTACGCTTCTTTCGTGCTTAGCAACCTCCCGCGTGCATCCATAACTCAATAGTGTACGCTGTGGTGTTTACCATTTGTTAATTTCTATCGGTTTACCAGTGTAATGACCCACGTGGGGTGTTTTACGAACACGAGAAAAGTTTGTTTAATCACGAGCCAAGGACGTATGATTTAAAAACTTTTCACGTTTTCTCCCAACATTCCAAGTGGGTTATTACACCCGTCCGGTAAATCAATGGAAAGTGCGGCCTACCGCTTAGTTCAATTTTTAATGGGTTTATTGGTGCAATAAACGGTAGGTTTTTTAACTATCGGGGCGTTTGTAATATCTCAGTTATTTTATAAATTCCGCGTTGATGACCAGTGTATACACATTGAAGCGTGGCAAAGAGAATTTCTCGTTTTGAAAAATTTAAATTACTGTCCTGAAAGTTTTATAAAGCAATTGTTTCATAAATCAGCTGTGTGTTTATTGAGATAAAAGGCACTTGCAAGCTGACCCTCAATGCTCCAGCCTTGCTTTACCACTTATGTTGGTGGTAGACATTGACAAAATAATATATTGCGACAACCAGTTACTTTATAGTTGTACTCTTACCAGTGGTGCATCACTGCTTCCAAATATCATGAAATAAGCCACTGTGGTAACTTCTTCCAGGCACTCTGCTGTTAAATGAAGAGGAACTTCTTTCACAGAATGAGGCTGGATAATTCCCTGAAAACATTACAAAAATACGAAGTGAGGAAACACTCCAAGACCTTTCTGACAGGGCCACCCTTTAAGAAAGGATCGGAATAGAGTGATACTTGAATTGGTCAAATTCCGATCAGTGACACTGGAGATATAGTCACGACCAGATGACAAAAGCTAATTTGTTTGACTCTATTTATTCTGTAAATAAAATCTTGCTCTGTTCATTCTATGTAGGTTTCAAGTACTCTGTGGCACAAAAGCTTGTGCCAATGTTTGGTTACGTTGGTTTTGTTCATGAAAGTGAACTGAACAATGGATCAACATCTGTAATGTTATTTGAAATTATGCTCAACATAATAATTTAGATATATCAACAAAGTTGAAATGGTAAATTGGCCACCGTAACGATTACAAAAGCTGACGTTTCGAGCGTTAGCCCTTCGTCGGACGAAGGGCTAACGCTCGAAACGTCAGCGTTATTTTATTTATGTTCACTCCTCATATGGGAGAATTAATTGTCAGGGGAAAACAGTTTGTCTCTCTCACCTTTGGTTCCGGACTTGTATACAGGATTGGTGTCGCATTTTCCACAACCTGTTGCATGGAAGATAATCCAACATGTCAAACGATTTACAAAAAGTCAGCGATAACAGAAAACAGCTACGTCGTACAAACACAGCAAAAATGTAAATACCTGTGACAACAATTCATATTTGGCAGGTAGATCAGACTCATTCACCAGGCTAACAGGAAGCTCATAAGGGTGATGAAGAAAGCAACGGCCATAATCCAAGAGAGGTGTGGAGACAGTGATAGGTGGAACCACACATCTGTCAACAAAAAGAGCAATCATCAATATTTCTGCATTAGAAAGGGTAACAGGATTAAGAAATCCTCATTTAAGTTATCAGGGTTTAAGTTTCTGAAATTCATTCCACGTGCATCAAGGTCTGGCAAAGAGGAATCGGTGATTTCACCTCAATACTCTTAAGTTTGTACATTTTGACCAGGCGATGCAATAATGTGTTTAACACAATTAAACTAAGGTTTACAACATGTTATGGTTTCTCATCATGGTGGACTTCAAAAGAATATCAAATAAGCTTATTGAAATAGTGTCATTGTTTGTAGTTTTTGCTTTTGAAAACAAGGTAAGTGTTATAAGACAGAATTACCTTCACGAAAGATACTATACCTAAACTGTGAAGGAAAATATCATAATGACTAAAAGACAAAATGATCTTACTTGGCTATTATTGGAAGTGACAGAATCTCCTCTCCAACTCCATCCACATCAACTACCAAAGTAATTTCATACTTTTTGACGGTGGTTGACACAAAGTCCACCTGTGAAATGCAGATGGTGAAAAATTGATTACCAGTTTAAAAATGTTGCTTCCAAATGATGGAGAGGGTCACTCAAGGGTTCAAACCACATGGTGGACTGCTGTTTCTCTACCCCATTCTTGCTAGTACAAAACTTGTTCAATTTTCTTAAAAATCTCTTTTTCTTCTTTCATAGACTGTATCTCAAATAAGCTGCTGTAAAAAAAGTTCACCTTTGAGTTATTTGAGACAATAAAATGTTTCACAGGTAGCATTTTTGGGTATTGCTCTGTGGAGAAAATTGAAGCAAGCAGGCAAATGAAAAAAGCCTCTTGTTCTTTCCTTTCCCACCCAAATTTTTTTCACTTAAGCCTGAAAACTGAGTGCCTGAAACAAGCAGTCCCATCCATACAAAAATGCAAGAAAGGGTGTTTTTGGAGGAAATGACATCATCATATAATAAATATTATATTATCACCTTGATTTCAAGGTCCCGTTGAGGAGCTATAGTACCATAAGAGGGTGTAATATCAAACTCTCTTGGAGATGGCATGATGGTGCTACCAGTGTCACTGATGTTGCTGTCAATTAAACTATCACGGCTTCGAGTTTCCTCAGTTGTCCAACCATCAGCCGGAACACGCAGGTTGAATGTCATGGGTATGAGTGAAGTATTCACTAGTGTACAGTGACGAGTGTTCACAAAACCTGTGAGATAAGGACAAGTGGAAGAAACAACAACAAGATGTAATTTGCTCCTGGTTTTAATCATTCATGTGCACGCCTGTCTGGTGGACAAAATAGCAACACAAACAACAACAAAAGAACAAGAATATAGAGAGTCCAAGTTAAAACTTCTCAACTTACCATACGAAACTACTCCAAATTTCAGCTTTGGTACGTTAAAGTGGAAAGTGGGGCCAATCACTGATCCCCTAACAAGACACACAACAAAAAAACATTAGTCATTTTGTGTGACTCTGAGAGACAGACAATAAAGGAACAGACAAAAATAATCCAACTTACAAGATCTTTAAACCAAGTTTCTCTGGTGACCCTTCCACAGAAAATTCAAACACTTCATTGAAATCCCCAAGTATGGGTGAGCAGAAGTGAATCTAATTAAGTTAAAAAAAAAAAACATGTTATTGTTGACCTAAGAATTAATATCATTCTATTAGCAAGATTGCATCAAATAACTTTTGCTGAGAGATAAAGGGGGCCAATTATCAAGACAATGGTCTATGGACCAAAAGTTCCAGGTTGGAACCCTAATTAGCTGCGGGCATTAGTTTGTTGTGTAATCATAGCTAAGACCTTTTACTTGACTAACAGTGCCTTTATTAATTTATACCCTCTAGAAATTACAACAAAGGCCGTATAAGTGGGAAATTGTAAGGGAAACCTGATTGAATGCCCCAGGCAGCCTGTGATGGATTTTGACAACTTCCCTCTCCTGAAGGAGCAAAATTACATTCCTAATTGTCACTTCATACTACAGAATTTCACATGAGCTCTGACTGCTACTGGAAGAAATCGATCTCTTGATCAGTGAACAGTAAGTTATATGTTTCACAAGAGCTTTTAAAAATGTAAAAAGACTTCAACAGCTTAGACTGTATATAATTATAATAATTAATAAAAATGTAACTATGCTGTATTCTTTGTGTAGGAGTCATACAAGATGGCTTACCTGAATGGCCTGGTATCCTCCAGGAATAACAATTCCTTGGGCAGGGAGGAATGAAAACTGTGGACCAAGTTGGGTGTTGGAGGGAAGGAGTTTATATACAGCATCAATGTCCCCCATGTTGCACAAAATAACCTGCAGTGGATATGGCACACATTAAGTTATTTAATCCCTACATTTTTCAGGACCTATACAGTATAAGCACAAGTAAAAGACAAGATCTGTTTACCTCATAAGAATGCCGAGAATTAATGAACACACTGCCGATGTCTAATGTATCCAAAGAGAAGTGTACTTGGGGACCTATCCCATCACCTCTGATTCTTAAAGGCAACCTTGATTCTCTGCCTGTAACATCACAGTATACCGTTCTGGCATAACTACAACAAAAACAAAAATTATCAGTTAAGGGTCTCTTGTTGAATATTCAAGTTTCAGGGGAGCAATGAAAGGTTCACAGTTAGCACCTATGATAAATTAGCTGAACCTGTTTCTAACATATGTAAACCCTAATACCCCATGCATATCTGCAAAAATTTTTTGTAAAACAAAACAAGATCTATAATCATGATTGTACTTCCCAAGAATACTGCATATTCTTACTTGCAGGCCTCTTGAGGTTTAAAGATAATGCTGATTTCTGCCTGAGAATTGGGCCAGATCTCTCCTTCCTAAAAATAAATGATCAGAAGCAGTTTAAACAAAATAATTTCTGCTGACCCTAAGATTGTTCTCACTCAAAAGACTTGAATCATATGTCAGTATTGTCCAGAGTATGATAGTCTAGAGTCTTGAAGAGAGTACTTTAATTCCCACTCTTAGATAACTGACACAATATATGACACTGGTCTTCAATAATAAATGGCTGTAGTCTTGCTTACCACTGGGTCGATAGTGACAATTGAGTCTCCGTAAAGCAGTTTGTCATCAGCAATGGCCTGTCAAGTTTTAAAAAGGAAAATAAAGGAATATTAAAAGCCTGAGAATAAACTAAGGCCTTGGGGCATAAACTAAGTCCAGCCATGAAAAGGTGATTGTTAATTAATCATCATTTCTTACATTATTCATTTAATTATTACCTGCATCTTGTTTTTGAATTTTCTTGTCAAGATAGACATTTGATCTCGGAGAGTAGGATCAATCAGGCATTCCTCAAAGAACTCATCCTTTTCAACATTTTCCTCATTCTCAAGGTCTAAGTAAAACCTTAAAAAACAAAGATTCAAAACTGAGTTACCTAGTAAACACTTAGCTACATTCCTATAACTGCTTTCTGATACAGATAAGGGTAATTTGACCTGATATAATAAGAACAAGTTAATTTGCTTTAGTTAATAACTAGCATGAGTATAGGTACTGCATGGTATACTAGAAATTATTTAGCATATGCTAGCATTTGTCAGTTATGCATTCCTGTTTGGGGCCTTGTTTCAGGACTTACATGGTTTGTAAGTTTGTAAGTATGTTAAATTATGCATCAAATTCATCTATAAGTGGTGAAAACAGCCAGATAAAAACCAAAAAAACTTGTGGCCCTCAAGTTTACAATTACACAGTCAAGTTAAGCATCTAAAAGACAATCCTCTAGGGAAATCGACCTACAGTAGATGCTTAAAAATGAAAAAAACAAATTGATCAATCTAAATCAAAGCAGGCCCTATTAAAACTATGTACACAGTCACTTAAATTTTACTTTTTTTAAAAACCAGTGTATCCTTGTGGCACTGTCATGTACTAGTCTATGTTTGTTGAATTAGGTGCCTCCTTTTTTGGTAGAATTTCACTTAGCTTAGTGTTTGCATTGCTATGCATACTAAGCAGTTATCTTCAAGTTCCTAATCTCCCCTTGAGCTTTTTTCCTTTATGTTCTTAACATGTATGTTAGTCAAAGACATTAAATCAATTGAATTCAAAGTTTAACCATGAAGGGTGCTATGGCTGGAGATAGGTTTCGTAGTCTGCAGGTATAATGGGTTTAGGTTCCACTACCTCCATTTGTAACTTTCTTGTTTTTTAAACAAAGAATAGTTTTTTTTTTGGGAGGGGGAAAGAAGGGGAAATCTCACAAGTATGGAAATTTACAACCTACCTATCTTTATGTTGCATTTCTTCCCTCAGTGTTGCAAAGTTTGTCCACTTGAACTGGACAATAATATCACTTCTGTTAGAGAGAGTAACTGTCCTAGAGGTTGAGAAGATGGTAGGGTTGGTATATTTTTCAATTGTAGCAAAGGTAGCAAAGAATAGAAACAAATTTTTATACAATCCGTCATCTCAGGCACAAACATACCTTTGTGAGGCACAAGATATAAAGGCATTTTCCATTTTGACAGTATTTTTATCCAGTCGGATGTTGTAATCAATTGCAGCTCCATACAAACTGATATAGATTTCTTCTCCTGTATCATGTTTTAATGAAAGATATCCATGTCAGACTCTAGTATATGTTGCAGTAAACTTGATATCCGCGTGACTGTATGAACTACCTTAAATATAATTTGTACAATATACCTGTTTCATACTGAAGAATCATATGACTAGCATGGTCTCCTGTTTGCAGGGCCTTGAAATCTACATGAATCTGCATGCTGTCCCCTATAGCCAGCCGACCACTGTCTGGTGTAACAAAGAATGGCTCCTGTACTAACAGCTGGAACTTTGCCTCACTGTTGCCAATGTTTCGTACAAGGAGAGTCCTTGTGGTGGCATACTGAGGATATACAACAATATTAATGATAAGAGGTACCAAGAAGAGTATTGGTTCTTGCAAACTTTCTTTGCAATGACTTTCAGAGTATCACTAAATGAATATAGCATACATTTGTGTTTACAAAATAATGTAGTAATAATGAACATATATCCAAAATTGTTAATTGTCTCAATTTTGGATTCTAAAGTAGCGGCTGTGGCATCTCATTAAGTTGTGGATTAATTTTATTATTCAATACCCCAACAGGTGGCATCAGCATGAAATACATTCATGTAGCAAACAAATGCACAGTTGTATGTTGTCAGTCTAATGAACAATAAATTTTTTTTTTTACAGTTGTGGGCTTGGTGGCCAAGCCTTTGAACAGGAGTGAGGCTTAGGGTGACCTTGTTATGATAGAGATATTGCTGCTTTTCAAATGCAAATTACTTTGTTATCATGCTTACTAGATACAGGTCTCTATCACAACAGGGTCACCCTTAGCCTCACTCCTGTTCAAAGGCTTGGCCACCAAGCCCACAACTGTAAAAGGGACTATTAAGACAAAACTACCAAAATGTTTCAACTGTACCTTTACGGGACAAGTTCCGAAGCTGATCTCATCTGGAAAATCAAGGATGGCTCTTGCCCCAATGGCCTTAACTGGCACCAAGAACTTCTCCCTTTCAGTTATGCAAATAAGCTCATGGGTGTAGTCCTGTTGAAAGAAGGCCAAATCGTAGAATTGACTATATATTTTAATTCTTTCAATTTATGAAGCTATCAAATTTTTCAATCAATTTTCAAATCTTTTAAACCAAAAAGTAAAGCAACATGTTACACAATGCCACCTCACTTCCAATTCAACTGAAGGAAAAAAAAATATAAAAGTCTACTTAGTATAAAAATTTTCAATAAGAGTATAACCACAAAGATACATGCAATTCAATACACTGATAGTCTCAATACCTTTTTCTCATCAGGGGTAAATTGAATAATGAAGACAGTATCCATTCCTGGAGCTACTTTATGTCCCACGTCATTTGGGCTGATGATCTTGAAGTATGGAGAATCAGTTTGTGTCACCTTCACCAGACGGGCAACCTATGAAGACAAAAACCCCATAAACCAAAGCATTTGTTACTGCCTTTGGTACCATATGACTGTGTATTCTTAACAGCTAAACAAACACTTGCTCACACATGCTTTATACAATTCAGCTACCTTTACATACCAATCCCAACCATCTAAATTTCTGTATAAACTTTATCTTCCCTGAGGTTGTCACCAAAAGATAAGCCCCATGGAAGGATGAAACCGATCAATTCAATGTCCTCATCATGGATTAGTATGTCGAGGTATTTTCACTGCTTCTAAATGCTAATTACTTTGCAGGTTGTAATTTAGAGTTTGTCCCATTCCGCTCACAATTTGTCAGATCCCTCTCTTTAGAAAATGCAGAGAAACATGACTAGCTTTTAATTGGATTGAGTTTTCTGTCTGTTGGAGCTCTGCAATGGTAATTTGCTTTTAAGATTTAACTGCCATAAAAACCTATCTCTTTTCTATAGGCTTTACTTTTACATCTTCTTTAGTTGTGTCTATACATGTAGATGTTATGATCCATCTTAAATGTCGTGATGAATCTCCTTAGGAAGGGGTTTGACCACAAATAATTCTGCAATTGTTTGAGGAACTTTTTTTTTTTTACCTTATCATTATTTCTCAACTGTAATGGTATCTGATATGTCTCAAATGGGTTGAAATTCTGGAACACAATATCTGAAGGAAATGGCTGAAATAGAGGCTCTTCAATATCCATAGTAGTGAACTAAAGAAAAAAACAAACAGTTTTTTTTTAACAAAACTTAATAAACTACACAGACTGTCACTGTAACAGTGTAAACAAAGGCAAAGGATTTATTTACTTTAAGTCTGTCTATACTAGAGAGAATAAAATGGGAGACCAATAAAGTATGTGAAAGAAAATGCAATGGAAGTGTTAAACTAATGTCATCTTGCTAGGATAAGACTGTAAAAAGTAAAAAATTCAATTATGTACCAAGTGTTTTAACTGATCAAGTCATCTTCATTTTTCAATTGTTTTGTTAATTCAGTTATCTTATTGAATTTGTAGTAAATGATTGTAACTTGGCTGTAATAGTCGATAATGTGTTCATCTAGGTTAGGGTACTCCTGATATTAAAGAGACTGTTACTAGTGGACTTGAGACTGATGTTTCAACAACAAGATCAGATTCAACATTAGACACAAGTCTAATTAATTGATCACAATACAACAATAATTAATCAACTTATCAAGTTGTTATTATCACTGTTTTAAGTACAAAGGCCAACTTTGATGGATGATTACTTCATACTATACAAGCCTCTTGTCAAAACAAAACTAAAAGGACCTCTTGTAGTTTGTAGTAAAGAAATAGTTGAGGGTCTAACCTTTTGAAGAGTCTGTTCAGACATGTCTAGTAACTCAATAATTTGTGGCACTCTCATCTCATATGTGAGCTTAAATCTTTCATCTGTTGTGAGCTGCATCTCAGCCATATAAGCAGAAGGAGCTTGCTAAGTGTTTGTAAAAATATAATACGATGGTCAATGTTGCTATCACACAAAGAAATTTTGTGAGTATACAATCTACATCTACTTTGGAGAGTGTTTTTTGCGTCTCCTAGCTTCTCGTTGTACCTTCTTCATCTGGAGCGGAATGTGAAAAACCCTGATTCGAAGCAGAAATAAAATTAATTTCTCCTTAATCTTGTGCACATAGAGCTGTACAAATTTTAAGACTGAGTTTAGCTGGTCCACTCAGCTGACTTTTGCAGACAACGGAAATCGAAAAGCGTTTGCTGTCCGCTTGTCTAGCAAACGGATTCATCTTGCTAGTCAACGCTATTGAGAGTAAAACTCCTTAAATTGCAATCCTATTCATTGCAATTTTCAAAACTCTATTAACTCAAAGCTTGCTAATAGATCTAGATCGCGAGCAAACTTCAGTACAGATACACTTAATTTGCCTGGTTGTTTTGCATCAAACGTGGTAAGGCTCGGGAAAATTACCCAACTAAAACAATAATAAACCTGAGAAAGTTTAAGTCTGATCACTCACCTTATCATCCTCAGGGCTTCCCTTCACAAGTTTGGGATTTCTCGGATGAACGACACGGCTTTTGAAGTTAGAAGTCACAGCTTTGCTACCGTAGTTCTCTCGTACAGTAGATTGTACTTCGCCTCGCAACCCTCCACGAAGTTTTCCCTGAGGCATTGCGATAAATTTCTGTTCCACGATTCAATTCTTTTTCTTTAGAATGGCATTGTATTTGCAGATCTCGTATGCTTTTTCGATTCTGGTAAACCGTTATCACTCATAACTTACAAAAACACAGGCAGCCATTTTCTGAAGTTTGAGCGGGAGTTGTTGCCATGGATTTGGGGACTGCTCAAACGCATATGGTTTAGTGTCGGGCTACTGACCATAAAATCTGCTGGCTCAGGGTTTGTCTGTGAGCAAGCTAGCAAACTGAAGCAAACTGTTCATGTTCTCTTCCTCTTTTATTTTCTTTAGTACGTTTTGTTAATTTTTTAACCCTCGTTTCCTCTAAAAATCTGATTTTTCAAACACTCTAGATACTGAAATAAAATGTTCCGAAAACGTATCTTTATTAATAATAACTTCGGTCACAAGGAGTTTAGGTGCCTACGTTGGTTGCAGTGTGATCTACTTCTTCAAACAATCTAGCAGAATGCTGCCAAAAGTGCTCCGCCGAATGCTGGGTATGGAAAGTAATCTTGATAAAACTGGCTACCTTATGTTTATTTCATGTCATTTTGATGTCCCCGCTTGCTGGGGTCGCTCTGGTTAACTTTCTATGGTTTTGCCTCAATTGCAAAATTACTAGAAATCGAGACTAAAGAACTACGCGGCAAAACTCCATAAAGCTTGAGTCGCTTGTATGGCTCTAAACCTACCACAGGAATACAGAGACATCACATGTCATTTCGGTACACATTCGGACGGGCTTTCGCCGGAAAAGGATGACAAGGACAGGGCCGTAGCTAGCATGAGGCAATTGCCTCGTCTTGATTTTGGCCTTTTCCTTTTTTTTTGCACCAGTATCGCTCGGCAATAAAAAAGTGAACTTCCACACTTGCCCAAGATTGACTTTTCTAAAGAAAAATGCCACGGAAAATGCTTGAAAGAGCATTTCTGAGCCTCTAGATTTCAAAATTTTCTGGGGGAGGCATGCCAGACCCGAAACTTGCCTCGTCTTGTTCTGAAGTCTGGCTACGGCCCTGAAGGAGAGAACTTAGGGCGTTTCTGACTTCCACTGAAAATAGTAACCACAAATACAACTCCTTAAACTGTTTATGTTTGAACGCTCTCAGTGTTTTGAAGAACAACGCAGAATAAGAACAGAGACATGTTTTGACGAGCAATTTGGACCTTTTACATCATGAAAAGTGCTACAACAGAACGTAAGGGTAACCACGTAAGAAAAGGCCAGAGGACGAGTAAAAATCGTAATGTTCTTTATTGCATTGTGCAAAACTTCATGGATTTATAAATAGTTGACATACTGTCGAATGATTCAAAACATTTACAAATAGTCGTGCTAAATTCATCACAGAACGTTAGAAATTACAAAGCTATCATAAAAATATACCTACAAATTCGAGAATTCATGGTGTCAAAATATTTTCTTGTTCATTGAATAGAAAAAAGCTTTCAAATGAAGTCTTATGAAAAATTCACAAAATTGCAAAATTCACATAGGGTTGAACAATTTCTTTAAAATCAAGTAAATATACATTTCTGTAATAGCTTTATAGAAAAAATTTTCGTTTGTTCAAAGCATAGTTATGTTCAAAGTTATTTACATTTAAAGTTTTAACATCTCGAAATATGTTAAAGATGGAGGTACTCTAAATTAGTTTCTGCTCAATTGCACAGATCTTTCTTATTATTTCTCATTAGATTTAAAGTTTATTTTTTCTCAAGTCAATTGCTGGTTCATTGGAGAAGAATAAAATTCACAAAGAACTGTAAAAAGTGACGGTAAAAAATGTTTTCGTGTAGCGTGGCACTTAGAAAGACACAGCCCGGAAGAAGAGTGTTTGAGATATCAAACATGGATAATTACAATGCATTAATTATGAAACGTTCACATTAGGAAAGACCTTTTAGAAGAAATTTGCGCTACGTGTATGTACAACTTAAGTCCTATATCACTTATGAGACAAGACCTCTACGATCTTTCGAGGCAGCAAACTAAAAAACTACGTTGCAAAAATTAATTCTGGTGAAAACAGACCAGCTATTTCGACAGTTTTTCTTGATTAATATTTTGGGTCCGAAATTCAACTTTTCACGGTCCGTTTCGTGGCTTGACCAAGCTCCACTGTTCTGACTCGCTGGGCAAAATTCAAACTGCAGACTGTTTCACCTACATTTTTCTCCACAGGCGAAACCTGAACCACCATTAGAGTTTTGGAATCTCCTCCTGAAAACCAAAATGATTTAAGTGATAAGTGCTTGTTGGTCAACACAGCTTTAAGTCTTCTTCGCGCTAGCTTTCGTCAAACAACATGCCCTCTTAGGGAGTCAGGAAACATATAACAAATTCGTTTCCAGGGACCCCCTATCATCCGCCCTAAGGGCCCGTTTCTTGACAGTTCCGGTAAATTAACGGGCCCGAAGCCAAATTTTAAAATAAAAATTTAAAAACAGAGGACCAGGTTCTGGTACCCTAACTAGTCCAAATTGTTTCTTTAGCTGACGGTTTAAATTATTTGGATACCCGTAATAAAATCAGTTCCGGCTGCGTTCGTAAAATCTCAAGTTTCCCATTCCCCCCAATCTGCTTCCTTAGATGTTAATGAAAGTTTCATTTTTTTGTATATTTTGCGTGGCCCGCTTGTTACTTATATATTTCCCTTGACGTTTGACTGCTGTGTTCCTTAAGACGAGGTTGAGGATGTTTCGTGACCGCGAGAAAGACACAAAGGTCATGAAGCAGAAACCAAGTTCTCAAGACAAACCGTCCCCTTCCCCCCCCCCCTACCAAATATCGCAGACTGAGGAATACGAATTTGTAGCCCGATGGAAGGTTAGAGGCCACTTACCCAGAGATTCTTGAAGGAGATACGTCAGCTTTGAATTCCTGTAGGGAACATGAGAACTCTTGTTTTTGAGCGAGTGGATCACATCGCCCAAAGAGGACAAAGACTTGTTTATACTCTGAGCCTCTTTCATCCGGGCACCTTCAGATCCACTCTTCGACACTCTCTCACTTCCTGCTAAGTCCACCAGGTTAAGCTTTCCTGAGACGATGTAAAATAAGAAAACGAGACTGCAAAGTCAATTTTTTTTCGCATTTCCTGTACAACGAAAATGAAGCACCTAATGCATCATTCTAGATGCCTTGCCTCTGACACACCATCTTGTCTCAAACGCAATTCTTCAGAATGAGGAAACTCAAAGTATTTTTCTTCTATTCTAAGAAACCCTGTAATGTAAATTCACTTTCCGGAAAAAAAAAACGTGGATTTCCTTAATACGACAACTGAAGTTCCTTAAGAGGTATATCCCATCTTGAGGAACAATCACCATTCTTAATACACGCCCTTCCCTAATATCAAAACCAAGAAAAAACAAGTAAACAGAGTTTAGGATTGTACTTTTAATATCACTTAATATCGCTTGTATCTGATATATTTGACCACCAATGAATCTCTTCGTCCCCAAAAATGACAGATCAGAAAATCCTCCTTACAATACAATTCCACTTCCGAGCAAAAAGCTGGAAGGTGATGGGGCGAAAGACATGTATTAACGAAGGGAAACTGTGTGATTAAACATACAACTCTCTGAGATAAACTTACACGAAATCTATGGCAGACAGTGCAAAAAATTTATATTTAACCCTTTGACTCCTAAGAGTGATTAGCATTTTATTTCACCATACATTATCACCCCTGAATCATACATTAAAGTCATGAGAATAACAGAAATGATCACAAACTTAAAAGAAGCTCTTGATTGTCAAACAAATTCTCCTAGTCAGTAGCTAGGAAATGTATAGAGGTAAATATGGAGAATATGCATATTGATGTTAGGGTGGAAATGGTTAAATCTTTGACGTAAAAAGGTAAAGTGCCGGTACATGGATTTTCTTACCGATAGTCTTGCGTCCTGTGGTTTTGTTGAAACCGGTTACCGTCACACAGAGAAGGGCATGGGAACGAGAGGAATGCTCGTTCATGTCAGTGATGGCCGTAGACCTGTTGGTCTTTCCGATGGCAAACACCTGTCAAGCAACATTCAAATGAATCAGCCAATCAATAATCAACTGAGCAATCAGTAAATCAATCAAAAAGATGTCAATCAATCTATCCAACGATCGAACAATCCATCAAATTAATCAAACAATGATGTATACCTCGTTCAGTTCGTCAACATTATTCACTTGAATTTCGGTGAGACCAGGTACAAAAAGACCGTCTTTTCCTTGCTTCACTTCAAGTTTTGTGGATGGATCGTCACCCAGCAGATCACGGATCATTTCATTATAGATCTCGATCACAGAGACGTTGATATTGTAGTTCCAATCCACTCCGCGATCACGTGTTTCTTCGAACAACAGCTTGAGTGCACGCTGGTTGATACCAGGATTGGATGAGGGGCCCTGGGAAAGAAAAAACAAAACAAATCAAGAACATGGGTTATTTCTTACAACGGAGACTTTGAGCAAAAAATTAAGACTAAAAATCAGCGATAATAATTTCGATTAACGTTCCTATGTCTCGCTCATCATTTTCAAATTCTTTACATACTAAGAATGCGTGTGAAAGTCTCGATGTACGTGATTAAAAACTCTACAATGTGGAATGCAGCCATGGTTGAGTCAGATTGAGTGTTCAGTTTAGGTTTCTATTCTTTTGGATAAAGAGCATTTCGTAAATTAAGCATTCAAATTTCCCACGACTTTTCTTAAGGATGGTTAACTCTTTGCGTAGATCTTTGTTCCTCTGAATGTGGGCGTAACGCAGGTGTTTTCCAAGGGCTGAGTGCTAGTGTCTATTAATGCGTTAGAAAAGGTGCCGGCGAGTATAGCCAACATGATCTGCATGTGATATAGGTTGTTTAAAGCCTCGTTGTACCCTTAACATGCTAAGGGGAAAAGGCTCTGGAAAGGGGTGGCGGGGGTAGGTGTAGCAGCCAATGGTCCATAACTTTCGGAGGTTATGCTTTCTTTTTTTATAGCATTAAGTGACTAAGAATATCGCTACTCCTTCCGGCATTGTGCAATCTCAGAAAATAAAGAAATAAAAAAGGTTTGCGAACAGTCTATTTACCACCCTTCTTGAGTATCACTAGATACCCAAATCGGCTGTAGGTTGGTAACTAGCATCCGCTCGGGTTATTAGATTGAGGCCAAAATAGGACGATGGTTTAACTACCTAGCCTTCTAATAAACATTATCGCACAACAGTTAACAGTTACCTCCATTGTAAACGTTTTTCCGCTTCCTGTTTGCCCGTAGGCGAAGATACAAACATTATAACCGTCTATACAAGAAACTATGAGTGCCTTAACCTCTTCAAACACCTGGAGAGAGAAGAGCGGATTGCAGATTAAAAGAGCGTCTATTGGCTAAATATATCTCTACTTCATTAGAGCAGTTCACCGAAATTGCAAAAACTTTACCACACTTTGATAAAAATACTTACATG